CCACCCATCCTGATTTTAGGGAGCCTGTAACTAGCTTAGAGACTAACACATTTATTTGAGCATAAGCTGTCGTGGGCTACAGCCCACTTCATCAGATGCATCGAATGGAACATATAGTAAGAAGATATATATACACATACAGAGAACATGACAAAGTGGAAGTTGCCATACCAACTGTAAGCCCACCTTTTCATGTTCTCTGTATGTGTATATAAATCTTCTTACTATATGTTCCATTCGATGCATCCCATGAAGTGGGCTGTAGCCCACAAAAGCTTTTGCTCAAATAAATTTGTTAGTCTCTAAGGTGCCACGAGTTCTCCTGTTCTTTTTGCGGATACAGACTCACATGGCTGCGACTCTGAAACCTGTAACTAGCTTGTGGCACCTCTCAAACTAAGCTCAGGCAGGATGTTGCACTGTGACAGTCACGCCGTCCCAGCAGCATGGTAGGATTGTTTCATCCTACAGGACTCTCCTGCAAGGTGCCATCCGGAGTGTCCACCTGAGACAGCCGGTTTGAGGCCTCAGCAGTGCAGTGAGTGCCAATCCCCCAGTTTGTCCTGCAAGCTCCAAGGTTCCCTGTACAGCCTTGGCTTGGCACTTACATGTTGGCCTCGGGTGTATCTGGCAGAGGAATGCGAAGATAAGTCATTTCCTGAAATGCATAAAATGCACAGGTCAAACTTAGGACCCCCAAGAGATCAGAAGGTCTGATTTCCCCAAAGGACTGCCCCAGAGCTGCTCACTCTACAAAGGCACTTCTCCTTTAGCGCTTGAGTTACTACTTCCCTACCCCAACCCCAGCTGTCCCACCACAGTAAAGCAAATACCACCTCCCTCTGCTCCTGAAAATGCTTCCAGAGTCCAAGGAGTCATGTCCACTATCCACCTGGGAAGGCAGGCCAAGGAATGAGTGATCAGGGAAGGAAAGCGGTGACTTCGGAGAGCGACGGGATAAACAGAGATGGGGACACAGAGATCTCTAACTCAGGCCAAAGAGCAGACAGTCCCTGATCATTTTGTTTTCTGAGCATATCTTTGTGACTCTTGGATTTGGGGGCTATATCCACAGGAAGGCCGAAGGAGCAGCCCAGTTCCTTTGAGACTATAGAAGGGGGGGTAGCTATCACTGCGGCTTTTTTTCTTGAGGGAGAAGGAGGATGTTAGGGGCGAGGGGATGAGCAGAAGGCAGAGGGGTGATGTTAGGGGCTTAGGTACCTACCTGCAGTAGTGGCTGGGGAGATTCATGGATTGAAATAATGTGAGTGATCTTATTCCTGCTCAGTTGCTCCAAATCTTTGGCATCTGAAAGAAGGAAAAACCCACTGAGATTCCAGTATGTACTTAGTTCTTACATGTCCCCCAAGCATGCCTGCCGCACCCCTGCAGACAAATAAGCAGGCACACACCTTGCTGCATAGAAACACATAGCTACATTATGCACACATACACACACAGGTGCCCGTATACACTGCAGGTGAGCAAATGCTGCCACAGATTGAAAACAACCTATAAATCTCTATGCATGCGCACACGTTACACCAAAAGACACCTCCCTAAATGAACACATACCCTGCCTGCTCACACCTGAATGAATTCAAACACACACCAACATGCCACCGCATAATGAACACATGCTTGGAAAAAGGTGTGCAAACACACCTGCAAATACATTCACATACCTGCTTGCAGCATACACACATCCAAATGCTCCCACATGAAGGAACACACTCTTCCCCCACATGCAAACATACCATAAATACTAGCAGCTTGAATTGCTGCTTGCGCAATTTACCCCACCCATGAACTGCAGCAAGGGAGCTGCACCCACTTACGGGATGTCTGAGAGTCCCCAGTCTGCCTGAACAACTGACGATTGGTCCCCAATTCTCCGGACGTACACTCAACTAGCTTTGTTGCATTTGTCATCTTCTGAATTGTACCGACCTGAATGAGGATTCCTGGATGTCCTCCCCTTTCCTACAGACCAGGGGTCTAGTTCTCTAACAGGTCTCAGCATTTTGTGGTTCTGGTCATTAGTTCAGGACTAGGGTTAATCTTCTGGAAGGGGAGCATGCTGGTCTGGCCAACTAAGCATCTTTGCAGCAGGTTTTTCTCTTGTGATTTTAGCAGCTGTTAGTTTGCAAGTTGCTAGTTAGGCATTGCCGTTCCCATCTCAAAGCTTTGGGATTCTAAATGTTCAAGTGGTATAAAGCATTGGCTTGTAGTTCTAAAGCACCGTGTGCTAATGGCATTATATACATATTTAATACAATAGAGGATCGAAGAGCGCTGCTCCATGTCAGAATTCAAGGGGGGTGGAGGGGAGAGCAAGAGCTACCCATCCCTTTATCTGTTTGTATTACCTTAGTATGGGGGGCTGGCAGTCAGAATGCTGGTTCTTAGACTGATATGATTTTAATGTCCAGTGTTTTGTGACCTACCAGGGACAGAGGATGCTTTCAGTTGGAAAACATGTCTCTAGCTCTGGCAGTTCACAAGCTATTGAACTTTAAATCTATCCCATGACCCCCTATTTCTTGGTTGAGCAGTGCTTTTGTGGCACCAGTCCAAGACTGAATGTAGCAGGCCTTGGACTTGCTTTAACCTTTCTGGTTAACCTGGAGTCTGAGAATTCTGGATGCCGTCTGCTGTAGATATTGGGCTCAGTACAGGGTAACTGGTGAAATTCTCTAGCCTGTGATATACAGGGTGTCAGACTAGACAATCGTAATGGTCCCTTTCTCACCTTTAAATCTATGAATTTGTGCTTCCCCTGTTGTAATCCCTCATACTGGTCAGGAATCTGTGTTCTCACTGCCTTTCAGAGTCTTGGTCCAAACTACTCTCGAATCCCCTGTGCATTGGACAAAGGCTTCCGAGAAGGCTTTTCAGCCAATGAACTGCCTGTCTTAATGCACGGAAACAAAGTCAATGGCCTTCTTGAGACCACTGCGTGTCCTATCGGATGCATCCTCTATTGAGGGGACTGTATCATAGAATCATAGAAGATTAGGGTTGGAAGAGACCTCAGGAGGTCATCTAGTCCAACCCCCTGCTCAAAGCAGGACCAACACCCACTAAATCATCCCAGCCAGGGCTTTGTCAAGCCAGACCTTAAAAACCTCTAAGGACGGAGGTTCCACTGTATCCTCTCCTGGCAGGGGCATGGCCTCATTCACTGACTAGGCCTCTTCCGCCTGTAAATCCTGAGATCCTATGAGTTATTGAGGCCCGTAAGGGGGAGAATTGTCTTGTTTTCCCTTCCCGGATCTCCCACTCTGAGCCTGTGGCAATAAATGGTTACACTCTGTTGCTCATGTGCCATCGTCATTGTAGAGAAACCCAATGCCTGCAAACACCACACACTGATATTTTGCAGCAGGCGGCCAGCTGGGTTTCTGACACTATTCGCCAGAGGGGAAGCAGGTGACCATTGGCACACTGCATGGGTTAACAAGTTTCCCTGTCTACTGCTGGTTGTCTGTAGGGCAGAAGAATGGCCACCCCCAA